GATCTATCTGGGGAAAAAAATGTATGACATTTAAAAGATCTTCAAGGAAATGGAAATGATCTCACCTGAGGTGAACCCCTACACTCCCTCTGGCCTCCAAACCATAGCCTCCACCAGCAACCTGGGAATGAGGATTACAAACAAGCAGCAACAAAACCAGACTTTGGCTGAGAACTCCGTGCAGAGGTGGTGTTTACAAGCATTTACTTTGCTCTCTTACATGGAAAAACACCCTTGCAGTCCTAAGAAGGATGCAACAGAAGAGATCGAAGCCAAGATGTGTGGCCTCTGCCAAACAGGAGGATGAACGGGTATTAATCTCATAAACATTCTTTGTTGTAATGTCTAGTATGATTGGCTTGCTCAGGTCTGACTGTGGTGACTGTCGGCATGAAAAGCAGCCATGGTCACTCTGGGTAAGCCACTTCGCTGGGCCCTCTTTTCTCATCATCTGTGCAATGGATATGTTGGGTACAATAATTTAATTTCCTTCTGATGTTCTGTGGGTAAAAAGAAAGGATTTAATGATAAAGCACAGCATGTCAAACATGTACCCATTCCTCCATTACTTCCTTCATTCAATAAACACTTACTGAGCTTCTGTAATGCCCAAGGCTCTGTGCTAGGCACAGACAAAGCAGGTGTGGTCACTGCCCTCTGGGAGCCTAGAGTGGAGAAGGCAAACTAGACATACATAGGCAATTATACCATCTAGACGCAATAAATGTCCTATCGGAGCTACAAAGTGCTGTGGTGCATGGAAGCGTTCCTTGTGGGAGAAATCTAAGAAGCTCCATGGTGAGGTCAGGTCAGAATTGAATAATAAGGCAGAGGTGGGGGGGGGGTGGATTTTAGGGAGCGTACAGCACTAGCAAAGGTTCAGGTATTAGAGGACACAAGGTAGATGCAGACCCATTTGCCTGGGGCAGCGGCTGCAAATGGTCCAGGAATGGATAGAAACAAGTCCTTGTCTGGGACCCCTTACTCAAAAGCCAAAGTATGACTTAAGATTTCACAGAGGTTTTAGAGAAAAATTCTTTTTATAAGTGGCCTCTTTTAAAGATACATAAATAAAGCTAGTCATCTCTTATGTACGTTACTGAAATATACTTTTGTAATAGTTAATGCTTAACTATATTCTTGTTTGTTTGTTCTATTGGGCTATGTCCTGCTTTGGGGGCCAGCCTGGTCGGTGGCTTTGCTTTCCCTGTGACTGGCTAAGACCTGGTAGCAGGCCCTAATCAATGATTGTGGAATACTACAAGGGCGGAGGGTCCGGGTTGGGACATTCCCAGAGGAGACTATATCTACCACTCAAGTTGTCCAACGTGCTTTTTATCTCATTTAAAACACACATAGTTGTAAATACATATTGATTGTATAATATGTATAGATGTATTCTATGTGCCATGTGACATAGTTTATATTTCTAATAATTTATTTTTATTGTATTTTTCCATTACCATTTATCCCCCTTACACCCTCTCCCACCTCTACCCATCCCCCTCACCCCACAAAATCACCACATTGTTGTCCCAGTCCTTGAGTTCTTTTTCTTTTTTGCTTGATCCTCCCATGCCCCCAACCACCCACCAGAGCAGTCAGCCTGCTCTGTATCTACGACTGTCTCTATTTTGCACATTCAGTTTGTTCATTACATTCCACATATGAGTGAAATCATATAGTACTTGCCTTTCTCTAACTGGCTTACTTCACTTAACATAATGTTCTCCAGGTCCATCCTCCCTCCAGGTCCACTCTCTTCTCCCTCTGTCAGAACCCAGGGGAGTGGCTGCAAGTGAAATTTTGTTCATTATCCCTTTAAGCGGGGGCGGGGGCGGGGTGGGGGTGGGGGTCTGTGTCTCTAACCATTTCTCCCTGGCAGACAGGAACCTCACTGCTTTGCACCACTGGATGTTAAGTGGGTTCCTTTTCCAGTTCAGTACTCCATGCTAGGGAGCCCGGCTTGGGGTTTAGACCCCATACTTCTCAGGGTGATCCCCGCCCCCCGGCTGCTGAAATATCCCTCTGGGACAGCTGCCACCTTCTTGGGAACCCAGGCAGCCCTCTCGTGCCTCTGCACTCCCTACCAGTCTAAGTATAGTGACATGGTTTCTTCAGTAAGTCCCTGTATATAAGCCTTCTTTCCAGCTAGTCTTCAGTTGCTTATTAAGGATGCTTTTCCCATAATTTAGTTGTAATTCCAGTTGTTCCTGGGAGGAGGTTAATGTAGCTTCTACCTACTCCACCACCATCTTGGATCTATAGATACAATTCCAGTATTTTATTACTTAATCCAGGAGATCAACTTGATGGACACTGGAAAGCCGAGAGGCATTCACCGCTGGTTCAAAGACACAGCCTTGTGCTACTGCAATATGCTTGGCTAAAACACAGAATTAAAAACTTCCAAAACAAATAACATTTGAATTAGCCAAAATGGTTCAAAAGTTCAAGTGAGCTCTTTTTATGACATGACTATGTATGGGCTTTTTTGCTGTCTGGGATGGTCACTGAAGCAGAGAATCCTAGAATTCTAGAGACAGAATGACCACAGAGATAATGTTGCCCCGCTTTTTTCAGATGGGGAAACTGAGGTCCACAGCAATTAAAAATCACAGGTGTGAAGATGATATCATTCAATATTTAAAATAGGTGGCTAACTATAACTTCTGCTATTAATAGTCAATAAAAAAAATCAAGGATCTCTGCATTTGCTCTATGAAATAAAGACATATCTTCCGTATTCAAATAGGGCAGTGATTTTTATACAAAGTGTTATAATCTAATAGGGCATAAAACATCATTTAAATATCAGTTTACTGCGTTCCTGGGCATTGAAGTATAACAGTAAGATTAGGGAGCCCAGCCCTGGCTGTTGTGGCTCAGTGGACTGCATACCGGCCAATGACCCTAAAAGTTACTGGTTTGGTTCCTGGGCAGGGCCCACGCTTGGGTTGCAGGCCAGTCCCCAGCTGGGGCATGCAAGAGGCAACCAGTTGATGTTTCTCTCCCTCTCTTTCTCCCTCCCTCCCCTCTCTAAAAATAAACAAATAAAATCTTTTTTAAAAAATTAGGGAGTCCAGTGTTACAATCTGACTGCTACCCAGACGCATTCCCTTAGCGGAGTCCCATTACTTTTCTGAACCTCAGTTTCTTTGTCCATGAAAAGGGTCAGACAGCACTTGTGCCTACATGGTGCTTGGAAGGATGTCATGAAACAATGTCAATAAGGCACCTTGCACAGCACCTAACATAGACCTAACAAAAGAGGGCCCAGCGGTAGCTACAGGTCCCATGATGCATTATTTTCCTCCACTGTCACAAAACTACTATGTGTCGTGACAAGCTCAAGCCTGAGTGCTGTGCCCTGGCTCCTTCCCCACTCCCTCAGACGCCTGTGTGTGCCCTGAGGACACTCGGTGCATGCTAACCAACACTCTCAGGGCTGACTCACAGCCTGGAAGCCACCCATGGCAGGCAGCAAACATGCAGCTCATGATGTCTCAGAGGCTAAGCTGTTACTGGAGGGAGCAGGATTTTGCCACCCAAAATACGTCTCTTTAGCATGAGGAATATTTTAGGCTGATTATTTTTAAGAAACAAAAGGCTCAGGAAGGGCTTTTTTTTTTTTCTTTCTTTTCGTTACCTCCCCCTTAATTACCTAAAAGAATTTAAAGGACCTGGCCCAGGAGAAGCACCATCACCAGAGATACCTGTGAAGAATATGGGGGCAGGGCTTGGAGACCAAAGTTCTCTCTGTGTCCCATTGTCTCTGTGTGGCCCAGGAAATATCTGTATTTTCACCTCCACGTGATTTGCTGTCCTCTCTTTGGAAGCCCCACTCCTGCCCCTTCGCCTTAGTTCAGAACGGCACAGACTCCCCACTGCCTGACCATCTGCGGGACTCGAACCCCCGTATATACAAAATTAAATTTTATTTTCTCCTGTTAATCCAGCTCATGCCAATTTAATTCTAAAGCCAGGCAGAAAAACCTGGGGGTAGAGAGAATTTTTCCTCCCCTGACATTCCCATTTATTTATTTATTTATTTATTTATTTATTTGTTTATTTATTTATTTTTGCCTTTCAGCATGGAGAAGAACCTCAGAGAATGTCCCCCAGGGGATACAGCTTAGAAGCCAGGACCAGGCTCAGGGCACAACAGTGTCAAAAAGCTGCTCCCTGTAGGGCACTAGGAGCGAGGACAAAGCAGCCTCCAGGCAGCTGGGCATGGACGGCTGTGTCCCACAGGAGAGAAGAGGGACCAATCTGTGCTCCCTGCACTGTCCCCACCTGCTGAGGACTAATCCCTGGTTATCTGTCTGCTGGCCCAGAGAAACCCAAAACTCCCCAGGCCTTTGAAAGGCTTTATCTCCTCTTTCCAGGAACTCATTTGCTTTCTCAAAGGTGCCACTGAGCAGCTGCTGCCCAGAGCCCAGGCGAGCCCCAGTCACGTTTCCAGGCTGCCTAGGTGCAGAGCCAGCCCCGCGATCCTGCTCCCTCTCCCTCCCTGGGCTTCTGTCTCATAATTAGAAAATCCGTTTGGGGAGCAAAGCAAAAATCACACATCACAAACAGCTGCTCTGAGTCGGGGGTGGAGGCGGGGGTGGGGGGAGCGGGAAGTCCGACTTTCGCCATAAATTGTATGCAAATAGGTTCTTTTCCTGGAAGAGAGCAGGCAGTGAGAGCGTCTGTCATGAGCTAACCCTGTACCTCCGCTGGGAGGGCTGTTCCTTTAATTCGCCAACTGAAAAAGTGGGAAAGGATGTCTGGAGGCGAGGCGTCCCATTACAGAGGAAGGAGCTCACTATATAAGCCAGCCAAAGCTGGCTGCACTGGCCACAGCCTGCCTACTGTCCCACGCTCTCCCGCGCAGACACACACACACAGCCCCTCCTCCGGGACAGACAGCGCGGGGTGGTGTGTCTCCGGGGGGCAGTGCACCTGGGAGTCCCGCTGCTGTTGCCGCTCACTTCCAGGTACTGAGTCCATGGAGCTGGTTCATTCAAGGATCTAGGGCTTTTCCAACTCCGGAAAGGTAAGTCTGTTTCACCCCGATCACGAGAGATCATTATAACATACTGTTAGCCTTCCTAGTACCAAAATGGGTTGCATTTTCATTAAGCACAAAACTTTTACTTGGTCTGCGCCGCTAGGATCTGGGTGCACCTGGACTGTTTTCTTTTTGCTCCCTCCCAGTCTTGGAGAGTTTTGTCTGTTTGTTCTAGTTCTATGAATAGTTACACATGCAAGGAACTTTCTGTAAAAACAAAAAAGAAAGTTTTTATCTGTGCCGTTCTTCAGAGGGAAAAATAAGAATATTCGCTTAACTCCCTGCCTGGCTGATTCACCTGTGAATCTTTTTGCAAGGGTTAGGGAAGTGGAGTTTGCAAAGTGCAGTGTGCTCGGAGCCTCACTCTGGGTGGGATGGGGGACCCCGACAGAGGATTGTCCTGGAGAGGACAGCAAAAATTTACATCTAAACCGCCCTTACCTTACAGTTTTCAATGTGGTTATCTATCCCCTCATTTCACAACATCCACTTTGTGGTCAGACATAGAAAGGGATGAGGGCTGGGGACAGGAATCAGAAGGTGACACCTAGGGCCAGGTGACGACCGCAGGCTACGAGGCCGGAGCGAGGCCAGAGCACTGGACACCAGCCTATCCTGTAGGGCGGGGTCTCCCTGTGGATGCCTCCTGATTCACTGATCCTTGCGCTGAGTACCTGGGCATGTTTGCGGTGCTTAGAGCCAGCAGGATCTCATGTCTTTCTAGAACCATCTCTCCCTCCTCACCTCTCAATGCAGAAAGCCCTAGGAAGCAAATGTTCCCAGGGATGGGAATTCTAAATCCCTCGGCTGACTGTGGAAGGAACACAGGGGTTCCCCTCTCTCATGGGAGCTGCAGGGGATTAAGAGTTTAGGTTTTGAAGCTGGGGATCCCTTTATTATCCCCGCCACTGCCACGAAACCTGTGACCCTGATGAAAACACACAACCACAACCTCTAATGAGCCTCAGTTCCCACTTCTCCAAAATGGGCACAATAACTTCTGGTGTCTTTATAAAGCGAAAACGAGTGATTGCTCAACAACTGAAAGTTTGGATCGTTATTGGCACTGCCAAAAACTGCCAGCACCTTGGAAGTTAAAAGAGGCACTTAGCCAACTTTGGATCGTTTCTTGTGCGATCCTCACCCACCTGTCCCACTCCCTGTTATTTCATCTTGCCAGGGCTGAGGTGTCTCACCAGGCTGGCAGGTCAGAGTCTTGGCTGCGTTTTGCCAGCAGGAGGTTGTGTTGGCACAGGTTGGGAGAGTAGGGAGCGCTTAGGGCTGGATGTAAATACCGGGTTCTGACTCTGGAGTGCACAAGGTTTTGAGGTTGGGCGTTTGCAGATTCTAAAGCTGTCAGCCGTGAGGTACGATGCTGCCGGGTAGCGCGGGTGTCTTTGGAAATGCTTTCCATCCAGGGGGAGAGCAAGGCAGGGCGCTCCACTTGAAGAAGGAATACTTTTTTCTCAGGTTTTTGTGGACTCCCCCCTCACTTTCTATGGAGCTTTCCCGTGTGTGCTTGAGAAATGCAACCTGCTGCCCACCCAGCCAGCTTTCCGCCTTGTCCTGCAACAGGACAAGCCCAGCACAGGACTGGGGAGAGGTTTGTTCAGGGCTAGAGAAACCTGCGGAAGTTTGCTGGATTAGGGTGTGTGGAGCCTTTGCGGCAGTTGTGAGTGAGTGCACTTTGACCCTGTGAGTTGCAGGGAGGTGATGGTGTTTGGAGGAAGAAGAGGGCGCATGCTACAAATATTCTCCGATTGGCTTGCACAGTGTGAAATAGATAAAGATTGAAAGGGGTGCCCCCAAACCTAACAGTTGCTAAAGTTTTTTATGCTGCAATTGAAAAGCCTAGTTTCCTTATCTCATTTCCCACTAACTGTTTCTCTAACTCCCAAGAAGTGACTGACCTTTTAGCCCTCATCTTTGCCGTCCATATAAAGAGGGGGACAATCTCAATCTCATACAGCTCTTGCGACACTCAGATGAGATACTACATGGCAAATCCCTAGCACAGCCCCTGGCACATAGTAAGAGCTCAATAAATTGGAGGCTTCTCTTGGTTTTATTGCTTATCAACTTACAAAGACTTGTCAAGACCAATTAATGTTCTAAAATGGTGGTTTCCAAACCTTTTTAGCAGTGAAAATATCCATTAAATGAAACTGAGGGCAAAACCCCAACATGTGGCAGGTAAATATGGGACCGATGGGGTTGCAATTGGGGTGGGGGATCCAAAGCTCACCTTACACCCCTCAGCCTCTGGAGCATTTCCACAGAATCTTGAACTCACAAAACACAATTAAACATCATGAAGCCGGGCGCTGCGTATGTAGGGTGAAAGCCTACACTTTGACAAGGACCTGTGCCCCTCCAAATTGCCAGCTCTGACGGAAGTCAGAGCAGCTTCCCAAGTAGTAAAATTGACAAGAATATATGTGGGAAGTTTAAAATGCTAAATGAAGGATGATCGTTCTAATTAACTTAATGATAACAATAGCTAAAACATGAAGACCCTACTCTCTAACTTAGAGGTCTTTTGTGTATACCATCTCACTAAATAGCCACATGTCTCTGAGAAAGGGACCGTACCTATTAGACAAAGACATAGCTTGAAAAGCAGAGAGAATGAGTGAATTTTCCTGAGTTCTAGGATTCAGAGGGATGGAGCCACTTTTCAGACCCATGTCCCTCTAATCCCCACATCAGAAGCATATTTTGCCATGTACCTGCTGAATGCAGCTGCTTCTTGAACTACCTTTAGAAGAAATAAACTTCCTCTCTGACTAAATCTGCCCCTCCAGCCAGACTGTGGCCACCCATAAATACAGCGGTAGCCTGATCATATAACCAGAATGGAATTTGGAAAGGGAATTCAAGCTGACAGAATGAAAAACACATCCCTCTTAATCCTACCCTTTCTAACGCTCACAAAGAACTCAGCACACGTATTCTCCCCTACCCCGGGGTTTCTCTAGACACACAATCATGCTTTCTCACAAGGAAAAAAAAATCCAGCCAGCTCAAAACACAAGTCCCTCCACGCTGAAGTCATGTCAGTTTGGAATGCTGAAAGTAGGTAACAAATATTTAGTTGACTCTTAATACGCAATCCCTTTGTGATGGTAAAACACTCAAAATAGTTCATGATGCGGATTACATATCACATGTGTGATAGAAGGGTTTGCCTATGGTTTCACATACTTCACAGCCTAATGCTGTAAGTTATGAATGACTAGCTCCATTTTATGACCCCTCCCCCACAAAAAATGAAACTCAGGGAAGTTAAGTGACTCATCTGAGGGTTTTCCATAAGTGAGGAGCAGAGTTGGCTTTAAACCCAAAGCTTCTGACTAAAACCCTCTCCTTTCCACTATGTTGCCTGTCTCCTGGAGTCACTCTGGGCTTACCTCTTACAGAGCCTTAACCGATGCTTGTCTCTCAGTAATTGGCCAAGACAGTAGAGAAGCCCCTGACCAGCATTGCTGTCTATTGATTTTACAGAATAGCCCAGCATATATCATTTTCCATGGTGCTCAGAAAAGGTCAACTCATGGCAGGGTACTTCTCTGCCTGGAAACAGAAAAGTTCAAATTTCAGCCCCGGGAGAGAGAAGAATGACAGGAGAGGTAGCGATGAGGTCATTACTGCTCATTTTCATTGCAGAAAAGTTGGCACACATATTGCCATGTACTACAGGTGGGAGCTGATTGGGAAAGCAGGGCTGTCCCTGTCCCTGTGCCCTCTCTGAAAGCCAGGTGAAACGAGCACCTGCTTCTAAAGGGGCTAATTGGTGTGCAGCCTTGGGGTAGTACACCCCCGCACCATCAGGGAAGGGCTGTAGGCTCTGAGCCACAAACTCTCTTGTAGCCTCAGAGATAAGGGTTAGGGTTCAATCACTTCTCACTTTGAGAAGTTTATAGGGAATCCCCTTGAATCTAATCCCATGCTAGGATGAACACCTTCAACACTTGGAAAACATTAGATGGTGTCTCCTTTCCAAGGAGGAAAACCCCTTCAAATTCCACGCAATAATTGCATCCAAGGCAAAAACAGCAGTGGCCCCCCCTGGGAGAAAAGTCTGTGTTCCTACCAAGTCATAACCTTGGTGACCAGACCTCTTTTTTTTTCAAGTTAAGCCTAGAAATTATTTTTCTGTTTCTTCTTCCCTTATCTCCTAATGCCAGCCTCTCCTTAACTTTAGCAACAACCTAATTCGGCACTTAATTACTCTCTTTGACCCTCCATTAGTGAATAAAAGGAAAATACTCATGCCAAAAGTAGATTATGAATGGAAAATCTCTTCCATGTGTATTTTTAGTCCATTTGTTAGTGAAAATGATAAATAATTATTTTGTGCCAAGTTAGCTCAAATTTTTGAAATTTCCTGAAATTCATAGGCCCTTAAATATGCAGCCATAGTAACACAAATAGCTTTGGTTGGCCCTTTAACCCTCTCCAAACACCCTGTGTCAAGAGCCAGAAACATTTCATAGGCTCTGAGCAGATGGCTTTGCTTCAGAACTACCCACTGATCCACTCTTACCCTGCAGGAGGTGAGTTGGCTGCTACTAACTTCTTACATGAATGAGTCCAAAAAGTTCTTCTAGGAGGGGCCTCAGAGATGATCGTAACAGCTAATGTTTACTGAGTAATCTTCAGGCATTATGCCATTTAATCACCCACCATTGTTTCTGCAAGTATAATTGCCCCTCTCAGTTTAAACATGGGGAATCTGAGGCTGTAAGGATTTAAGTGGCTGCCCCAACACCACACAGATAGTCTGGCTGGAACCAGAACTCAGAGCCAGTTCCAAGTCCCGAGCAAGTGTTTATAACCAGTATGGTAAGCAAGTCATGCTCAGCACCATAATTCTATTCATCTTCTGACACCAGACAGGGCTAGGCACAGCAAAGCTAAGAAAGAGTCAAAAGCTTGTTTTCCAGACCCTAGAATTCTCTTCAGCAGGATGGCCCCTGCTGCGA